ATAGGAAATTGCTTTTTGGATGCGTTTTATTATGGGAAGACGTTAAAAAAAAAAAAAAAAAAAAACTTATTTTGTTGCAAATGAACTCTGTGTGACTCTTCGAATTTGCATGTAATATTAAAAGGAAATTGATGCCAAAACCTTTCCGTTTGACAGTCCACTGTGGCGGTATTATGGCATGTGCATTGTTGTCTGCGCTGGGCTGTGACTCCCCTCCAACTCTCAAGTTTTCCTCGCTTGAGGCCTGGCCAGAGGACTGGCCTGCGCGCTGGTGTCACCATTAATAACAAATGCCACCTTCTGTCATGACCTGCAGTATCATTGTACATACACATACACACGAAAGCTTGTTATTGTACATGCTTCAAATTGTTTTCCTACTAGTTCTTCTCTGACGTGACGCATATTGACGACATTGGCACACAAACCCTCAACTTTTAATTTTGGCACTGAGACGTTTGCACACATTAATGCGTGGCTACGTGCAATCAGGCCATTTCATTCATGAATTATTCTCAGGAGTTCGCTGCTAGCTGTTGATGCTGGGTCAAGATTTATTTAATACTCACACAGAGAGCTGAAGCACCGTGCTACTCATACCAGTGCATTGGATGCTAATTAACTCGTTATGGCTCGTCCATGCGCATTGTCAGCAAAGGCCAGGTGATGCAAATTTTAAGGGTTCATGAGAGCTCCTTAAACTCTCTCCCACTGAAGAGAACCGAAGACTGAAGCTAAAGCTTAAAGAAACATAGGGGGTGGGGATGGAAGATAATTTAGATTCCCAGAAAAGAGAATGTTGTAAACACACTGATGTTTTCAAACCAGATTTCTTTCTTTCTTTTTTTTTTTTATAAGCACTGGTTCATTGATTCCAACATGTGCAGAATTTGTAAAAAATAAAATTAAATAAAATACTCCTACCATTTGTGAATGCTTTGGTAAATTACTTAGGTTCTTGAATTAAAATTGAGAGTCCAAAAGAGACAGAATGTGCAAAAAGAAAACAGCAAATGTATATGAGAATGTACAGCTCTTAAGAAAAAAAAAAGAAAAGGAAAGGAAAGTAATTCTAACTCACATTGAATTATGCTTGCATATAATTGTTTTAAACTATTAACTTGGCATCTTCAGGCTGGTCCACAATTCTCTTCCTAATATCTTTTCCGATTATTTGAGCTTTTCCCATGACGTCACACGAGGAAGAGGCATATTTTAAGTTTCCCCTTAAACTATAGCCACAGTTGTGCCTCTACTTACCTCAGTAGTATCACATTTTTTTTTAAAGGCATAGTAATGTTGGCATTATTTTTGTAAACTTGTTTTTATTTGTGACAAAAGTTTCATTTTTCTTCTTTCTCGCCCTCCTTCTGCCTTGCAGATTGTAGAACAAGGAAAGAACGCAAAGAGCTTCCACTACATCCTCGCCAACCTGGTAAGAAATTGCAGCGACAGAAAGAATCCCACACACTTTCCCACCTACTTCATACTTTCATTGAATTTGGATTGCCAATAAATTGAGCTTTTAACTGTGTTCCTGACTTTCAGCGCTTTATCGCCGGTTTAATAGACTTGCGCGCACCCGATAAATTAGGGTGGAACTATCTGGTTTTACATCTTCTCATTCCATTTTCCACTCCAGCTATTCTTTCTCTGTCAAAGCAGCGGAAACGACAGCAGTTCACCAGGAGACGAAAGCACAGGAGGGTGATCTGTGACAGTCTGAGGGGGAAAAAAAATAAAAAAACATAAAACTGCGCAGACATAGTTTGACAGAAAAGGGTCAGGCGAGCCTGTCTGTGAGAGCTTTATCTATTAGCGCTCTCTTTTGTTTTCCTACCATTTCCCCTCGGTGCCGATAATACGTAGACAAGTGCGGCACTCGGTAAATGCCGCAAAGCGAAGTCTAAGCTGACACCGGCAGAAAGTGCGGGGCTGTAACAACATTAATATGCAGCCGCTGGCCCTGACAATTTCTCACCGCTCGGGCTTTAGATTGGTTCAATCTCTCTTGTCTGGCTAGTTTGCCAGATTTAATTTCAGATGATAAGGCTCGGACGGCAGGAGCGGCTGATTTGCAAAGTGGCTGCAGTCGTTAATAACGGTCCCAGTTAAAAGCCCTGTTTAAAAAAAGAGAAAAACAAAAGGAAATTAAAGAATTAAAACAGTTTGTCTTTGTCCTTGCACCTTTTCTCAATTTTGCTAATTTACTGTTCTGCATGTTCCTGTGTGAGGATCTGAGGAGGGCACGGTTTGAATTTCTTTCATCGCTTAAATGGGGTTACAGTACGTGTTGGAAGCACACGACCCCCCGCCCCCCTCCCCCTCCCCAGCCCCAAACCCCCCCTACATGTCCGCCATTAGCAAAGGCTAGTTTCTATAGTAACCTCTTCAGCTCGCTTCTCGACATTAATTCATTCATGGATCGAAAGAAAAAGCACAAGAAATGCAGACACAGACACCTGACCGGTTTCAAAGAAAGCGGCGATAGCAGGAGGCAGTTTCCCGTCCAAACTCCTTGAAAATAACTAGCTTAGATTTTGTCAGGTTTCCTGTACCCCCAAGGTAGAGACGGATAAAGAGCCTCACAATAAATCGTTCCTCTATTGTAACAGCTTTGTGTAATACCAAAAGATTTTCATTTATTTTTAGCACATTAATTTAGTGGGAGAGAAAAAAAATAAATCCACTGTTCAAAAATAATTGTATATACAAAAATCGTTGAGGAGATTCATCCTGTTTGATTCTTTGTATTATTCCTTCTTGTAAAAATGTATGTAGATATTTCTTTGTGTCCCATGGAAGCAGGAAGATCTAAATTACTAAGCAGATCAGTTTAAAAAATAAAGCAAAAATGGGGTGTTGGGAACTTTGTGTAAAAAAAAAAAAGAAAATTTGTTTTTATTGTAATTTGTTGGCAAACACAGCGACCTTTTCTAGCTTATCTGGTGTGTTGATAGCGTCTAATGGTTTCTATGGTGACTTGATGATGCCAACTTGGATGCTAGTCCAGCTTATTTGCCAGTGAATGAAGGAAGTTGGTTTTTCCGTTGCATCATAATTATGACAAAGGGAAACAGAAAGCCAGAGATCAGGGCATTCTGGTAACTGATCGACTTCCATTAGTTGAAATCTTAAAAAGTTGCTTCACTTTTATCCGAATCAAATTGTTAGTGGCGATGATAGTGCAAGTTTTTACTAAACTAAATTGAACAAATGTACTGCAATTAAACTGTCAAGCTATTTCAGGTTACTTCAGTCTATTTAAACAGCAAGCCATTTTCATCGCTGTAGGAATATTAAAGATCAGAAGACGTAAAAACAAATATTTTGAGACAGATGTGTAGCAAAGAGGGAACAAAAGCTTTATAAAGCCATGTCGGCACAAAGAAGCAGGAGAAATCACTAAACACTTTGTGCTAGATGCCTGACGAGCAAGTGACAATGCGAGGAAGAACCTTGTTTTTTTCTATTCATTTGGTAAAACTCCACTTTTAAAAACCACAGAGAATCTCCCACCCGTTCCCATTCGCCTGCCTCTTCCTCTCTGCGCACTGACAGGCCACCTGCTGAGAGACTGAAGCTCCATCTCCTCTATTCTGTCTGTCCTGTAAAAAACAAAACAAAACACACCTACATACCAGCCGGGGGGGGAAAAAAACATGAGTAGGAGATACATTTCCTGCTAATCTCTTCCATTTTCTGTTCTGGGTTGTGTGAAGCATGAGCTTTATTTCCCCCTGAATCCTGTAGGATTTTGATCCTTTCATTTTCAACTGTAACCTATGAGGATTCAGACCGTCACAGATTACCTCAGGACTAGTGCTGCTTGAAATGAGGTTTCTTATTGTCTGTGTCTACTTCTTTTGTCCTTCAGAAAAGAATCGCTGGAGTGTGTTCATATACACTAAACCCTAGAAAGAACATAAAGTTGAACAAGCAATATAATAGTTAATCTCCATGCTTTTTTTTTTTTTCTTTACTAAGTGTGTCAATAAGGCCACTGGAAGTTTTGATGCTGCAACCTGTGTTTGTCTTCACTGTTGGAAGAAATTAAAACTTTCAAAATAAGTCATGGATACAGAGGAATGACACACTAAGCCCACACAAAAAGGCTCTAGCCAAGATTCAAAGTTGATCTCGTAGGTTTGTATATATATATATATTTGTTAAAGTTGCCATGATGTTCTATTATTCTATTATTTATATTAGAGAATATGTGTCTCGAATATGAGGCACATAATTTGTGAAAAAAATAAATAAAAAATCAAGCTCCTCTGCCTTTCCTGTGGTTCTACTGCCATCTGCAAAATTGCAGAGTGGTTGTTTCTGACCACTCCCGGTCAGAAACAACCAACCGGAGGCTTCGAATTGCTGTCTGTCATGCTCGTGTATGTGCTGCGCATGCAAGTTCAAAATTGGCAGTTTGAAGCAGCTGTGTGCTAATGTTGGAGAAACAATCTCAGGTCACAGGAAAACCGCTTGTATGCCGCCGTTTACAAAACCAAAATGCATAAAAGTATTTAAAAGTGCAGCACTAGCCATCGCTTAATCTCATGTAAATGATATAAGTAGCATCATCTTGTAATGTCTTAGCATTGCCAGCTACAAGCCACTCCTTGTTCCATGTTTCACCCCCCACCCCACTGAGTGCCCTGCATTTCTTGTCTTGGGAACTACGTCGGTATCGTCGTTTCACTTCTAAGCCTGTGTTGCTGTCGGTCACAGGGTTTCCTGGACATCGACCTGACAGACCTGAGGAAAGGCGGTGCCAACATCACGGGCTTCCAGCTCGTTAACAACTCCGAGCCGAGCGTGAGCCGCATCGTCCAGCAGTGGATGGAGTTTGACAATAAAGACTCCAAAATGCCCAAGACTGGACTCAAAGTAACACACACACTTTGTTTTTCTTTTTTTTTTTATTAACACTCTTGTACTGTATTTTTTTTTTCAGAGTTAAGAGGTTACATCGTAGCACAAAGTGCATGATTTTGTTACCAAGTAAGATTACCTACAGCAGAAGCTTTTGACAAGAGATTCAACAAATTTTCATCAGTGATTGTAAAAAAATGATGTTATTCTCTTATGATTTCCATTGAAAATCTTGAATATCATATATGAGAGAAACACTTTACATTTTGGATTTTAACACATTGAAAGCACACAAGGTTATAACAGAGCCACTCTTTGTTTAGCCTTCCTGTTATCTGTAGAAAGCCTACAGGGGCCAAACGAATCTGATCAGGTTAAAAGTCAGCTACTTATAATTACTAGGGCATTTTTCAGTGCTTCTCCGTTTTTCCTATATCATTTAACTGTGAGCAGCATAAAAAGGTTACGAAAGGCTTTGGATCTGTATTTTTCTTTTCTTTTTAGATTTTATCTAAATTTGCTGGTTCAGATCTGAGATTCTAGTTCATTGATGTTCAGCCAAGTTAAAACAGCTTCCACCCGCAAAGATTTTCAATTGCAAATCAAACACAGAGCCCTCTGTAGTGATGCTTTGAGCACGACAAATGAATAGGGTAAGATTTCAATATGTGAGGAATACACAGAATTCATGTCGAGGTGTAGTTCACTTCTCAGTTGCCATCTTGGCTCTTTTTACCGTTTCGCAAACCTCGTGTCTGTTTGGATGATCTGTTTGCAGTACATGGGCGCGCTGACATACGACGGGGTGAAAGTCATGTCCACAGCCTTCCAGTACCTGAGGAGACAGAGGATAGACATCTCTCGCCGCGGCAACGCTGGAGAGTGTCTCGCCAACCCGCCAGCCCCTTGGGGACAGGGCATAGATATCCAGAGAGCCTTGCAGCAGGTCTGCACTCATGCGCAGTGACACAATACTCCACACACACACACACACACGCACACAGAGTCATGAATACCCCAACTCTGCATAGACGTGAAGAAATCCTTGACTGGCAGATTGGCTAATAGCTCCTGAGCCGGGGCTGGCTGAACAAATTAGGTCTCATTCTGCCGCGTAAAGTTCGCATTAGGTCATAGGAGAAATCCCCAGTATCAAATGTGACATCACGGCTAGTAAACAAAACCTGCGGGCAATATTACTGAGCTGTGATCATCATGGGATATGACATCAACAATTGAGTTTAGAAATGTAATATTTGGCCACGGGAATGGTAATGGTGGCCCGGCTGTGAGGCCTTCTTGATCTCCCGGGGCCAGACGCAGCCACTTGGCACGTACGCTGAGAAGCGAAGAGAATTGCTGTTATATTCACTATGCTATCTGTACAATATTGGAAAATATGCAGACAGGAAAAAAAAAAAAAAAGATGGAGTTATCCCCACATTGGCATAAAAAAAGAAAAAACAATGGTATGTGCGCATGCGTTGGAGCCCAAGGCTCTGTCTGCAGAGGCTGTGCAGAGTCAATCTAGCCATCTGCCTGCGGACAGACTGGAGCTCGGAGCCGTGTTCGCTCAATTAACTCCATCACCAAGCCAAGACAAACACACTGCACTGTATGCATACATGCACACCGTCTGTCATTCACCTCTACGGGGACACGAGCGGCGCGGACGTCCACAAACGTGTACTGTAGAAACACGTCACAGACTATTTTTAAATGGCATCGCTAACGTTTTCTGTTTGATTCGTCACGACGTTGGCCGCGTACGGCCGTCTGTGTTTCAGCCTCAGCGTGAGCGTCTGTGTACGTGTGGCATCTTTACAGGTTCAAATTGACGGACTGACCGGTCACATACAGTTCAACGAGAAGGGTCGCAGAACCAACTATACTGTCAGTGTCATGGAACTGGCCCCGTCCGGACCCAAGAAGGTAAGCCCGAGGCATCCGGTCTCAGACATTCATTCGTGCCCGAGGAGCCACAAAAGTTGCGCTTGCAACGGTAATATCTCAATAATCCGGCTCGTTTTCTCCTGCGTACTTCGATGAGCTCAAGAAAGACCTGTGGTCAAATTTGTCGCGTACAAATTGCAGTTATATTTGCTCTGGGTCAGTCAGGCAGCAAAAAGGCCCTTATCAGTGGAATAAGACTCGTCTGAAAAGAAATCTTCTCCTGCAAATAACTCACACTTTTTCTGAAGTTTATGAACTCGAAATGTGAAAATGCAACATATCCTTACGCTTTACCACAGTTTAGTCCATTCAAGATGAGAGGAAACGTGTGTATTGGTTAAATTTAGTAGAAGGAGCAGGTGGAATAGTTTCTTATAGTGAAGCTGGTATAAAGTGAAATATTTTTTTAGGTTTGAACGTACCAAGAAAATTGCTAATTGACGCATGCGGATAAAATTGGCTTGTAACAACAGTGAGAAAGATTTAGCATGAAAAGAGGCTGCATGAATAATGCATGTCAAAGGTTTATTTGAAGTTCTTGCACCCTGATGGTAGAAAACCACAAAGTAAATAGCAGTCCTAAGCTCCACAGCTTTAAATGACACATTCACGCTATTCAAAATCTCTGATTAATTCACACTCGGTGTTAGTATGCTTTTTTTTGTTGTTGTGAATTTCTTGTTGTAATATCTATTCAGCCAATTTTAATCAGACATTTCATGCCCCCCTTTTTTTTCTTTTCTTTTTTTTTTACTAAATGAGACAAGTATTTAGTAAGGGTCAAGAGACGAGGATAACATAATTTAAACGAGTGGCTTTTATTCGTGTATCGCAATGAATGTTATCACTTTCCGCCTTTTATTTTTAAGGTTGCACAGGTATAACAAGTCGATAAAAGCTCTTTAAGTAGTTAAACTAGCACACACGTCGCTCCTGATCGGGCAGAAATGAATTTGGTAATTTATCATCTGGAATATTGAGAGCGATGTTTCCTCAAAGACGTCTCCATGCCATATCTGTCTATGTTTTTACATAAAAGAATCAGTCAATCAATCAATCAATCAAGTTTATTTGCATAGTACATTTCAGCAACGCGCCAGTTCAAAGTGCTTGCCATCGCGAAAACATAAACATAAAAACGTTCTCACATGGACAGCAGTTGTGAAAACCAATAGACATTTCATTGTGGGAAGTTACTGTCACTCCGATGCTTTCCACGGCATCTCATTAGGACTGCAGCTCCGGTTTGATGAAACATGTTAATGATTTCGAACCATTTTCTTTTTCCACAGCCTCAGCTTATATGCAGACACCAGTGCCAGCTCTGGTTGTGTGAATTTGGCTCGCATTTCTTTAAAACGGCGCCTTACAGAAGCAAATGGGTAAAATAATGACCGAGGGGGGAGAGGAAGGAGGATAAACTCATGTTTTATTTATTTTTTGTATTTATTTATGTATTTAGTTATTTACTGTCAACAACTAGCTACATAAACTCTGGGCTTTCATCAATGTTTGTAGCGTCTAACTAACATAAAGAACTGTTTTGCTTCCAGGCTAATTTTAAATGCTAATAAGTGTTTTGCTGTATTGGCTTTCCACGACCCTAACGGGATTAACGGGGTAAATAAAGTAAATGGATGGTTGATTTCTGGTAATGATGAATTTGATATATAAATATATATATATAAAAAACATACATGCATAAATAAATAAACCCAAAGAGCACATTTGCATAATCCAACTGGGATAAAACATAAATAAAAATAAAAAATATCTAATTCTTAGTTGGAACGACAAGCACAACGGCCTGATAATAGTTCATTTCCTTGTGAACTATCAACTAAGTTTAAAGAAAAGATAATTTGTTGTACTGCATCTCCCATTTCTGAGAAGAAATGATGGCAGAACGATTCAAAGCGAAAGTTGTGAGATCGAGATAAATATTTGTTTGGCTCTCTGGGGTGTCACTCCTCTCGATTCCCACTGTCAAGATAATTTTGGCAGTTTAAAAAAAAAAAAAAACTGAAACGCTAAATGATAATATTTAGATGATTACTGTTGGTGTTTGATGGCATTTTACAAATCTGTCATGATCCCCTTTCTGTGGGAAACTCATACCAACATTTGCAGGACTTCATAGGAATCCCAACGTTTTCTGCATTTAGTTTTTATGTAGAAAAAACACAAAAACAATGGCACCTCTTGTGTTTTTTCAAGAACTGTTTGAATGCGATTATTTTTTTTTTTTTACATAGCGAATGCTACTTATGAAATTCCTGCTAGTGATTTCATAAATCATTTAATTTCCTCTTTAAGTCTACAGAGGTACGTAGAGGAGCTGAAGGCCCCCCTCTGATTCATCCTCCTTTTCTTAGGTTGGCTACTGGAATGAAGATGAGAAGTACGTGAGCACAGCCAGCCTCTCCAGGGTCAATAATGACACACACGGACTGCTGAACAGGACATATATAGTCACTACTATTTTGGTAAGTCTCGAAATATGAAGTTCAAGGGATCTTGAAGGAGTAGCAGGGAAGAAAGATTGACACAGGGACAGTCGGGGCAACACTTTTCATTTTCTTTTTATGATGGAGTTCCCCGAAAGTTCACTACCCACGATGAATTTGGCAGACCTCTGTGATTGTTTCGCCCTCCTCCGCCTCCCTCCTCCAGCTGCATTCTGTTCTCCCACTGTCTGACAGACGCCTGCTCGGAATAATGATCGCTTTATTGACCGAACTAAGCAGCGGTGCAGAGTTCTGGTGTCATGACACGCAGAGTCGAGGACTTGCAGCGATGCATCTCATTTATTCCCTAATCTTTTAATCGTGACTGCCGTCTTAAGATGCGTAAATAAGGGAAGACTAAGAGGCACCAGCGCTGCTTTTAGGATAACAGGTGCAGCTGGCGAGAAGTAGAGCACTGCGTTTGATTAAAGGACATTATAAGGCCAAACCACTTCTATCGCTTTAATATGTCAGTGTATCCTTTCTTTCTCTCTCCTCTCTTCGGCTCAGCTGTCACCGGTAGCTTACATAACAACCCTTGGCAAGACTCTATTAAGTCTACTGTCCTATATATCAGAGATTTGGGTGATAAGGGCCGTGGGTTAGATTTGAGAAAAGCGCATTCTACATGTATGCTACGATAATATGCATGCCGCTACGGATGCAGGGTTTTCTCGGAGTCTGCAGTCGCTACGTTGTTAAAAATCTTCTGTCACAGAATACACAGCATGTGTATAAACCGGAACTGACTTCTGGAAGGGCTCGTAAAACAGAAATATGTCGCCCCTGCCTTGTTTTGTATTGGTGAAAAAGGACACGGGCTAGCTTTTACGAGCTTCAGCTTCCAACACCGTCTGCTTCAATCCGATCGCATCAATTGTTTGGGCGTTTGTTTTTCCACATACATTTACGTTGTGTTTACATTCCTGAAAAGACGTATTGTATTTCACAAGACTGAGGGGCAGTGGATAGGACTTGAAGTGTTTAATCAATGTCTCATCAAGGGACGGTCTGTATGCCCCAGCCTGTTTCTAGTGAGTGTGCGTCTTTCCTTTTTCTGTAACTGTGAATGCATACCCCATGACGGCAAAACAAAACAGACCTTTCTCTCCAGCATTTCCCTGGTGTGCCATTTGTCTGCCAGTGGGATGCCGGGGTTGTGAAGCAATGATTTCCTTGATCCTAACCGTAGGAGGAACAGAGCAGGCGTAGCTGCAGCATGATGACGAATCCCCTAAACATCTCTACGGCCAGATGAACCATATTGGCAGGATTCGCTATGCTCAGCAAAGCCTGGTTTAAATCGGGCTCAGACACCCAGCTCGTGGGAATCGCTACCTTCCGATTGTTGGTGGAGCGTTGAGACGGAGGTGACCAGGAGTCTGTATGAAATAAACCGTTTTTTCTGAAAGTGAAGTGTGGCCCCAGGTGTCACGTCAGCTGTAATTTTTCAAGGCCAGACAATCAGTGTGAGACGTACAAACGCGGGTGTAACAGGAAACAAGCTCCCCAGAACAGAGGGCTCGAAGGTGCAGTCATTACATGCTTCAGACTTACACAGCGAAGCCTGAACTCATGCAGAGATACTTCTGCAAACAGCATTCGCAATCCAGCTGAGATTTTTATTTATTTTATTTTCTTTGCTAGCTTGCACATTATCAGCACTGTCATTGTTGCAGTGCAGTCACAATGATCGTAGCTTTTGGGTAAGAATGAAAACATTAAGGGGAAAAAAACGATACCTTGTATTTTGAAATGATTTTCCTTTTATATCTCAGTCTTTCAAAGTCCTTGAATCCATTTTTTTTTTTTTTTTTCAAAAACACTTAACTTACAAACTATTAACACGATACAAGTAAACAACTCGGTAACTTGGGATGCATTTACAACATTTGTTTCAGATTTTTCGTCTTGCAGCACTGAACTGGTTTTATTTATTTTATGAACCATAAAGCTAGGTCTTCAATAATCCAACAAGAAACGAGGAATTTCAATCCCATACAACGTTGATAATAATGCTTATTTTCATCCAACAGGAGTCTCCCTATGTGATGCAAAAGAAGAACCACGAACTGCTCGTAGGAAACGATAAGTACGAAGGCTACATTGTAGAGCTGGCTGCAGAGATAGCAAAGCACGTGGGCTACCAATACAAGCTTAAGATCGTTTCTGACGGCAAGTACGGAGCCAAAGACCCTGAAACCCAGAAGTGGAACGGCATGGTTGGAGAACTGGTCTATGACGTGAGTAAATAAAGGTTTTACCTCTTGGCGGGTTTCTGTTTAAAGTTACCGAAATATTTCTAACCGTAGTGAAAGTTACAGGAATCTTTTGCAGTTGTCCGTTTGTCGCAGAGTTTAGGTGAATGTCGTTAGAGCACTGTAGGTTAGAGACACACCAGCATACTGTGACAACCTAGTGCAGAACAGCAGGTCATTAGACTTATCTAGGAGGAAACAAGCCCATGAGTGTCAGGGGCCTAGAAACCAGAGCTGCGCACTCTGTGAGCTGCTTCACGTGGAATATATTGTACATTATTTATTTTGTACTTTATGGCAGAGCCTCTGAAAACAAATTTAATTTGCCGTAGTGGACGGCTTATGTCTTATTCTATTTTCTTTGCTAGCTTGCACATTGCACATGTGTGCATGGAATCTAGATTCTCCCCACATCAGTTCAGAAAACCCGACTGCATCCAGACTCATAAAAAAAACAAAAAAACATCTTTCTCCTGACTCATGTCTTTTTTTATGTGTACTCTGAAACGTGTTGCATCTCGGGTACTTTGTACGTCAGGTTTGCAGTAGGAGGTAAAACGGCTTTAAAATGTTTTACCTCTTCACATTTTTTACACTGATGAGCAAAGAATCCACGTAATGAAGTGCTAAGTTGTTTGAGCAAAAAAAAAAAAAAAGAAAAAAAAAGTACGCTCGGTAAGACAGCATGTTGCACGTAGTCTGCAAAGATTGCACACCCAATTGATAACATGCAAACATGTTCATGAGAACTTTGCGTGTGATAGCAGCTGTCATGGAGAGCAGAGTGGCCACAAGCGAAAGATGAAGTAGAAAGACTTTATACTGGAGGTATTATTCTATTGATAATAGTAATACATACCTTTTAAACAAATGTGCAATGTGGTACAGCACATTTGTAACTTTGCAGCTACTTCCCTTGTTTTGTATCTGTTTCAGTTGCACCAGTGCGCTTAGACATGCGTAGAAAAAAAATGGCTGTTTTGTTAAAGATATTCTACGTTTGTGCTCTTCCCTCAGAAAGCGGATCTGGCCGTCGCCCCGCTTACTATCACTCTCGTCCGCGAAGAGGTGATAGACTTCTCCAAGCCCTTCATGTCTCTGGGTATCTCTATCATGATCAAGAAACCCACAAAGTCCAAGCCTGGTGTGTTTTCCTTCCTGGACCCGCTGGCTTACGAGATCTGGATGTGCATCGTGTTCGCCTACATCGGCGTCAGCGTCGTCCTCTTCCTCGTCAGCCGATTCAGCCCTTACGAGTGGCACGCCGAAGACTACGAGGAGGGAGCCGAGCCTCAGACTCCCACGCAAGCGGCGGCCTCCAACGGCGTGCAGCCGAGCCAGACGCCAACGCAGCAGAACGCCAACCAGCAGAGCCCAGAACAGACCAACGAGTTTGGCATCTTCAATTCTCTTTGGTTTTCGCTCGGCGCCTTCATGCAGCAGGGTTGTGATATCTCACCACGGTAAGAGAAGCCCAGGCGGAGATTTTGCATCAGCTCATCACACAGTCTTAGAGTTTTGATTATTGATGCAATGTGAAACGCAGCGCCACGACTCTGCTGGATGTTCGTGTCGGATCTGTTTTTCATGAAGGAGCCGCTTTCTTCTTTTCGGCTACTTTCCGCTTTCCTGCCTTTGGATTATTCTAGTAGAATCGAAACAAAACAAAACAAAAAGAATGTCGGCACATATCTCAAACAGAAATGTCACCTTTTTCGTACCAGGACAAGAAAATTACAAGTAAGAATACTCTAAAGTACCCTGGCGTTAGGCTGGTGTTAAATGCGCTGGCTTTCATCGCTGTGCTCTCATGAGCTGTGGTATGAAATTGTTCTCAAAAGGTCATCAATTAAAAATCTCATTAAGTGTCTGAAATTAGCGACACCGAGGTCGACTTTTAGAGCTTTCCAGAGGGATTAGAAGGAGGAGATGAGGAGATAAATGTCAGTGTTATCCCTGTGAGATCAATCTGAACCCTCAGAGACTCGTTGACTTGTCGCCTGAAAATGCGTATACATTATGTGCAGTTTGGTGTCGTGTTGCGGTATATGTGCTATGTGGCTAATGCGGTACCTTGAAAAATATTTCATACTCCCTTTTCACGTTTTGTCATTTTGCAAACACAAACCTTGACGTATTTTATTGGAGTTTGGTGTGACGGTTCCTCATACAGTACATTTACACCAACTAACTCCAAAGAGACTAGGAAGTTATTTAAGGAAATGTAAGGAAATGTCTTTCATCTTGAGATTGAAATTCTGTGCAAAACGACTCAAGCTCTGTCAGACTAGATGGAAAATGAGACTTTGACTGGGCCATTCTGACACATTAACCCACCTAAAACATCCCATTGTAACTTTCACTGTGCATCTGTCTTCTGGACGGTGCGTTCTATGATACGCAGGATTAGTTTTGTTAATTCACGACAAAATATTAGATTTTAGTCTTGTCTGACCAGAACAGAACAGCGTCTTTCACATGTTTGCCATGTTGTTCTACCTGAGCTGCTGAACTCTCCAGCTCCTCTAAAGTAACCATGAATTAATGCTCACTTTGACCTCTGTGTTTTGGTTAGGGACTACAGAATGGCTACTCGTATGTCTGCAATAAATACAGAGCAGTGTCAATTAAGCATTTAGCATTAGGAGTGTGAGGACTAAGACTCTCTGTTTAAAGGGTTACACTTACATGGAAGCATGAGAATTTCTTTTTAAATTTATTCTGGTTTTTGTATACGCCTGGTTCTCTTATCCGCCTGAAAATTGCATCCGAGCCAGAAAAGCAATTGGATGGAACCGATGAAGAAAACATCGTATTGTACAGCTCCCCTCTGTTTACCTCGCTTTCCCGTCCTTTTGATATTTACACTATGCATGTTGATTTACCATACATGGCTGATTCAGGTATCAGGTGTCCTCCTGACATTTCTCCCGCCGGCAGATGCTGCTGTGCTCCATCCAGGTTAAAGCCCAAAGTCCAGATGTTCTCCTGTAGGCGTGGAATGCATCTGCTAAAACTATGGATTTTTGTGTGTGTGCCACACGGAGCAAGAGAATGTCAGTGTTTCCTCAAATAGCCTGCTCCCTGTAGCTTCTTTGAGAATACAGAAGCCTGTTTTTCTTTGTGCCGTGTGTGTCTGTGTGTGTGTGTGTGAGCAAACTGTGTGTTCATGCATTCATTTATTTTTTTTTTTTTGCATTTTTGCGTTTGTTTTGCTTCGTGCCAGTGAGTCACAGATGTTGCAAGACATTTTATTGTCTGGACAAGATGATCAGTTCTGCACGTTTGACATTCATAAACAGTAATTTTGTCATTGTTGAAAAAAGCGCTCAAAGATTTTGTTTCTACTGAGAAGCAAGAGGAGAAAAAGGACGTGTTAAGGAGAAGACGCTCAGCATCCTTGGATGCGCGTCTCCTTCACGAAGCTTGTTTTGTTTCGGAGATATTTGGGATCTTTATGACAAACGATGTCGCGACGCTTCAGTTAGCCATTTACATGCTGCGAGGTGTCTTGAAAACCAGCACAGTGAATGTTTCACCCTGCCGAGTGCCAGCCTGAAGAAAACATCCTCTCCTTGAAAATGTGGGTGACCTAGTTGCTTGCAGACACACAGGGACGTGCATGTCGAGCAACGCTTTTAAAAGTCCTATGCGACTCGCTGCACATTTTCAAAGGACATGTGACGCCGTCCCTCGTATCTTTGTACGACACATTAGAACTTGCAATGTGACATACACACCTTTGAAATGTTATTTGCTTTGTATATTTTGTAACGACTGTGTCACGGCGCAAAAAAAAAAAAAACAGAAAGAAAGAAAGCGCCAGGCTGCTCCAGCCGTCTTTTTGTAGCTTACTCTGTTCTAGTCAATCAGACTAGCTTAGCTTAATATGAGTAAGTCTGTATAGAGTGGCTCTCGTTTAGTTTCTATGCCTTGATTGTGCTTTTTACTGACTGAAAATATTACCATGCATACTTTTTTTTTCTTGTGTGAGAGAGAAAACTTCAGTAACAACATTCACACTAAAGACTGCTGCTGCCATGACCTGTGAGCTGTTAGCGCATTTTTTACTTTTCAACAGATGAGGATGAGATCAGAGTAAAATCAAACACCCCTTGTCACCAGGCAATTTCTAAGTAAATCTTGATATCTAGAATAAATTCAAGTGATCATCACTTGTATGATCACAATGTACCAAAGTGTACAAGCCTGCAAACCAAATACTGGACGAAAATACCTGCTCCACAATAACAAACAGAACACCCACCGAGACCTAAATCTTTCATTACCTGAAAGGGCGAGATTGAAATCCAAAACCTCCCTCTGAAGCTCCAGGACGTCAGTTTTCAGACTAAATACAGACTCATTATAACAGCATGTCAGTAGCCAAGGCTGATGCCACTGTAGTATAATTGCAAAGCTTTGCTTTGAGCAGCATTTTTATCTCTGGATTTTATTTAAGTGCATGCCCTGACATCCACATAGTCCACAGCATTCATCTTGTTCCCAATCTTTGCACCTAAACTCAGATTTCACATTAATAAAGAGAACTTTACACAAAGCCTAGTCTAGTTGAGATTCTGACAGGGTATCATTATTATTATTATAAAAAATAGCCACTATAACTACTGATTACAATATTAAATATCAAAATAAATTACATTTCGTATTACTATAATAACGTCCGTGCCTGATTAGACTCATTCTGATGCACAGATTTATTTGTTTGTTTCTTTCTTTTGTGATGCGAATGGCCTGGGTAGTTATCTACCTGACGATGTTTACCCTGATATTTCCATAAAGACACTGACAAACCACTTCACTGTTGATTTCTAAGCGTCATCCGAGAACAGGATGTTCCAGCGGTGCATTTAGACTGGAGGTAGGCAGCTTCACCTCTCGTTCACGGCCATTTCACGAGAGACAAAACGGCCACGGAAAAGCACTGAACATTTCTGCTTTTTTGGATTATGAGCAGATATGTTTACTCACTCTGTCTGCCTGTCTGTGTTTATGTCTGTACCCGTTTTCTTTGTCTGCTGCCTCGTCCCAACTGCTTTCATCAGTTTAAGCTGCCTCGACATCAAGCCATACACACAGCTCGGCATGTAAGCATCTAAATGCAAAGGCCCCTTTGTTTACCCATTGATGTATTGCACTGATGTGTACAGTTTCTCGCTAAGTGTGTATTAGCCACACGGTTCCCCGTGCTATTTGTGAGACCTTGTTTATTGTGCTCTTTCTAAATGTCAGCCCCGTCAGTCAAACCCTCCCAAAAGCCACACTCTGTGCTTATGGGTTCTCCTTGTGTTTATCTCTGCAAACAGGTGGACTCTGAGACAGCCTCCTCCTCCCCACCCACCTTCACAAAACACACACACACACACACACACGTTCAAACACCACTCCATCCATCCAATCATCTGCACATTTCCAGCTGCTTCCATCGCCTCTTCTCAGTCCACCTCTTCTCCCCTCTTTCCTGCTCTCCATCCGCTGCTCTCTGCACTTTTTTTTTTTTTTTTTTTTTTTTGGTTTCTTTTGTTTTGAAATTTATCATGAGAGGCAGCTCTCTCTGGACCTTGATGCCAACACCTGCACAGTTATCTCAAGATTATTTTGATTACGTTTTTGGTGCCATTTAGATCTTCTTCTTTTTTTTTCCAGTAGTCTGTTTTGGGAATAGATTTGCTATCATTGGAAACTCAAACAACCTACAGAAAATGTATTTTCCTTTGTGTGTGTGTGTGTGTGTGTGTGTGTGTTTTTTCCCCCTATTTTCCAAACCTGTTCTCAGGTCCATTTGCCTTTGGGGACATTTCAATAAATAACAGTGTAATTGAAAAGTAATTTTTGGTTTTCAGCATTTCAATTTAAAAAAAAGGCAATATAATTGACACTCATTACACACAAAGGTATATGTTTCAAGTGTTTTGATGATTATTGCCAACAGGCAAAGGTAGCCCCAATTCATTTTCATAGAAATATAAAACGCCACATAAGTCCAATAAATTAAAGAATAATGTTGAAATGCGATGTCATAGTTTTAAAGGATTTGGCCACCCATATTCCTTGCTTTCTTTTACTTCTGTTAATTTTTTTTTATTGAAGAATTGTTGCCGAATTAATGAGAAATAATCAAATTAAGCAAACCAAAGTGTTGTGTGAGAGAGGAATTCAGATAATAAAAAGCATAAACCGCAAACCTTGCGCGTTGACGACTTCGCCCTCAGTTTGAACCCTTCTTTCAATTCCTTACCTGCCCTGAAAAAGCGGGCGTTCTTGTATCCAGTGCTTGCCTTGAATTAGTTTGGGGATGTTTTATGTGTCACATTTCCGTGTGTACATATAGGTTTTCTCCTTCCCGTGGAGTCGTCTGTGCCTCTCCTACACGGTTGTACACTGAAATAAATCGGCTCTGTCAGTCACTCAGTCCGTGCCATGGCAACCGTTGCTCAGCCTGGCCGTTTAAAATCCTCCGGTAAGGGATTGTGCATGTGGCGCATTATCGTGAACCGGCGAGGGTCTGTGTTTCTCAGTACGACTGAGTTTTCTGTCGTACTGTGCTGCATTTTGTGCCTGTGTAAGAAGGAGTCTGCACATGGCGGCTAGATATCTGGATGCGTTTGGTTCTTTAGGGAAACAGCGTGTAGGGTAGAATCGGGCCGAGACACTTTTTGCCTTAAGAACTGTCTTGG